ATCACAACAAATGTAAATCAATTTAGTACTTTTTTTTACCCTAAGGTTACATACGAGTTGTAAAGCATTAAACGACTGATCGCAATTTGAGGATTATTTATATAAATAACTTTTAAGATAAGATACATTTTATTGTCATTTTCTTTTTAGTGTGAGCACACTGGCCCACGAGAAAAATGAAATTCTGTTGCTTGTTCTCTAGATATAATGTAGAGCTATACATACATAACACCCATATATATCACAAACACACACACCTGCAACATTTTATATACCGTATATACTCGAGTATAAGCCAAGTTTTTCAGCACATTTTTTGTGCTGAAAAAAAACCCCTCGGCTTATACTCGAGTCAGATTCCCCCTGAAAAAAAATGGTGTGGAGCCCTGGAGCTGGGCAGCCGCTTCCCTGCTTCCGTGTTTCCTTTGCAACTTGTAAGCATGGGGGTAATCGGAAGCAGAAAAGTTCTTGCATGAGGATGTATTGTTTTTTCTTTATTTAACTGTTTTTAGGGGCGGAAGTCCCACCGTCATGTGAGAATGCTCAAACATGAAATCTATCCGCCTGAAAATAAGTGTGTGTGTGTGTGTGTGTGTGTGTGTGTATTTTAACAGAGGGAAGACATAGGGAGAAGACAAAAGCGACGGAAGATCCTTCAGGGGAAACTGAGGGGGAGACTCACCCTTGGTCCAGATGAGCCCCTTCCCCGCCCCTAAGGAAGCAGAGGCAGCCAGCAAGGGCAGGCAAGCCCCGCTTCGCGGACTCCGTCCGTCCTCACTCCCACCCACCCACCCAAAGCCACGAAGTCCCCCAATCGCGCAGCCCAGAATCGCCCTCCCCTCAGGGGGCAGCAACGACGCCCGGTGTTTCCTGAAACAAGCAGCTCCGCCGTGCAATGAAAGCGCCCTGGCTCTAGGCTCAGAAAACAACGTGAGCCGAGGTGGCTTTGTTTCCTCAGCCCCAGCTGCTTTCAGTCCGCTCGGGAGGAGGAGGAGGTGGCGGCGGCAGCGGCTCGCATTATTTTCTGAGCTCTAGGTTCTAGATCTCAGAAAACAACACGAGCCACCGCCACCACCTCTTCCTCCCCCTCCTCCCGAGCAGACTGAAAGCAGCTGGGCTGAGGAAACGAAGCCACCTCGGCTCGTGTTGTTTTCTGAGATCGCGAGCCTAGAGCTCAGAAAATAACACGAGCCGCTGCCACCACCTCCTCCTCCTCCTCCCGAGCGGACTGAAAGCAGCTGGGGCTGAGGAAACAAAGCCATCTCGGCTCGCATTGTTTTCTGAGCCTAGAGCCAGGGCGCTTTCATTACACGGCGGAGCTTCTTGTTTCAGGAAACACCGGGCGTCGTTGCTGCCCCCTGAGGGGAGGGCGATTCTGGGCTGCGCGATTGGGGGACTTTGTGGCTTTGGGTGGGTGGGTGGGAGCGAGGACGGACGGAGTCCGCGAAGCGGGGCTTGCCTGCCCTTGCTGGCTGCCTCTGCTTCCTTAGGGGCGGGGAAGGGGGCTCATCTGGACCAAGGGTGAATCTCCCCCTCAGTTTCCCCTGAAGGATCTTCCGTCGCTTTTGCCTTCTCCCTATGTCTTCCCTGTTAAAATCCCCCCACTTATTTTCAGGCAGATAGATTTCGTGTCTGAGCATTCTCACATGACGGTGGGTTCCCACCCCCCCTAAAAACAGTTAAATAAAGAAAAAACAATACATCCTCATGCAAGAACTTTTCTGCTTCTGATTACCCCCATGCTTACAAGTTGCAAAGGAAACACGGAAGCAGGGAAGAGGCTGCCCAGCTGCAGAGCTCCTCACCATTTTTTTTTTCCAGAGGGAATCTCACTTGAATGTGCTGAAAAACTCGGCTTATACTCGAGTCAATAAGTTTCCCAGTATTTTGTGGCAAAATTAGGTGCCTCGGCTTATATTCGGGTCGACTTATACTCGAGTATATACGGTATATTTTTATATTTTTTTCTATATTTTTCTATCTCTCTATTTTCTATATTTATATATACACACACACATATATATATATAAGTATAAAAATCACTGTCTATTTTGAATATGTAGTGGAAAGAGGAAACAAGAGTTCACAAGGTATGCTATGTGTGTGTATCTATGTTTGTGTTTGCCTCTATTTTAGATATTTAATATATTTTCATACTGTTTCCAACAAATACTTTCAAGGTAATCGTTTTGAAAAAACTGTACAAGCATTATTAATTTTGTGTGGACATCTCACAATTTGTAAACAATTGCGTTGTTATTCAAGTGGGCTGTATAAATCTGAGAAAATTTTTATATGCCACTAGAATTCAGTTTATAACCATTCAGAGGTGTCAAACTCAAGGCCCGCAGGATGCTTACATCTGGCCCATGGGGTGGCCCTGGAAACAGCAAAAGACTGCCCCCTGTGGCTCTGCCAATGAAAACGTAGCTCAGGAGGGCTGCACACAGGCCTTGCAAGCTCCATTTTTGCTGGCAGAGGGTTGCAGGAGGCCATTGCAGCCCAAAACGGAGATCAGGAGCCCATTTTTACCGGCAGAGCACTTGAGCCACCATAGGCATCCCTGACACGAGTGACATTCAGCTGGCCACACCCAGCCTGGCCATGTCCACCCCAGCTCCCTCGAGGTCGAATACAACCCTGATGCAGCCCTTGATGAAATCGAGTTTGACACCTCTGATTTAGAACAATAATTTCTGATTAACATATTCATTTATAACTGAGAGTACTGTTTTAAATATGATGAGATATAGGAAAATGCAGAGTTTTAAAGTGTGGCTGTTTGCATCAAATGCAAAGTGTTGGCATTTTTTCCTACACTTTGAAGCAGAGTAATTTTGGCCTCCATTTCATTGTCTGTTTTTCAAGAAACCAGCATTCTTTTATGCTACTGAAAAAGAGGCTTACAATATGCAGCTAAAATGTCTAAAATGCTAATAAAGAAAGCTTCTAAATTAGCCTGAAAGTGAATCTAACAGTTCTAGTCACTGAAAGTAATGAAGTGTATTGCTTGGTACAAATGTAGTTATAATAAATTTTTATAACTATTTGTTAGGAGTGAAATGTGTCTTTCCTTTTCTCTTATAAACAGAGAAAACTTAAATGTCTAGCATTTTGTCTGGGATACAGATATGAAAGGAAATATCTTAACACTTAATGGGAATTATGGAACTCCAGAGCCAGGACTCTAATTGTGTGCTAATTTGTTTGACTAGCTTATGAGCACATAGATCCCCACATGCATCTGATTTTTCCTGCATGCATTCCTTGATCCAGCTACAGATGCAGAAGTCTGCCCCAATGTGGACAGAAGGAATAAAAGTCAACATGCTAAAAATTGTTCAATGACTAAATAAATACATTATGAAAAGGATTTAATCCATCAAACATCTGTCATGATATCTGTCAACATTTCAAACTATGAAATCTACATCTTGCTCTAAAATATGGTTGGATGGTGGTACTTATTTTTAAAAGGTCTATGTTGTCTTTCCAAACCATGTTTTCACTGTATAATTTAAAATACATTAATAAAATACATTAAAATTACATTATTATAATTCAGATCAAAAATAAAACATTATAAAAATAATTAAAGGTAGTCTTTGATGTACGACTATAATGGTCATCCGAAATTCCCTAGCATCTTTCTTACATGTTCTCTTCCTATCATTATCATTAACTTGATTGGTAAAGTACTGATTATGCTACTTGACACACAATTTATACAGAGAACAAGAAACAGAGCTCAATGATTAGCATTCACTTTATGTTGAGAAAAGACAATGCCTTTCTATGCAGGAAGAATATGGCAACAATCTCTCCCTCTGCATAGAGAGGGTGGGAGAATAACTTACTGTAAAGGCCTTTTGTGTCAGTGAAAAATGGACTAATAAGATAAAATTTATGCCACCTTTTCTATTTGGAAGACAAGGCTTAAAATTTATTTCGGTCCTATGCAGGAAGCTCTGTCCCTTCAACTATATGCACGGATTTCAGCTACTATTCAAAGCAGAGGGCACTCTCATCATAATGAATATTAAGAACCTACTAAAAATAAAAAATTAATATACTACAAAATAGTTTAAATTGGAAATTATCCCAGGGTTTTTACTCTTCATGATATGGGAGATAATTTGAAGCTAAATGCACAATGGAATTCTTACAGAAATTCTTTACATTGAACTAGGCACTCCTATTACTCTGGTCCAGCACAAGATAAAATTACTTTTCTGCAAATATTTCATTACTGTACTAATAAATATTATGTTTTTAATTGCATTTAGTTATGTGGCATCTGATAATGCTTTTACTCACAGGATGCTTTAAGAATGGAAACAGTACATTTTGATTTCAAACCAATGGGATAACTATTATGAATAATCATATCAGTTGGCTTCTCCTGAATGGTAGCAAGAAGAGTTATACAGAAATAGTTCATCACAAGCCGTAATGGAAACATTCAGTTCTGAAATACAACAGATATTTTCCTCCCTTCAGGTAGGAAAAATACTCTTCAAATCTATTGTAACATGTACAGTAAACACATATATTGTATTTATTACAATATCAACAAATAGTTTTTTCCCTGAGGAGCTGGTATTTTGTATTTTAAAATAAATATATAATTAGCTATTTAACAAAATCTACAAACATTTTCCATAAACAGCAATGTACTCTTGATATGCTAACAACTGGAATCTGCTCAGCTTTCCCTTCAGCTGATTGTATTTAGTCTAACAACTAACTGATTGTATTTCATTTTGCTCAAACTTAACAGTGTCCATTACAAATACAGAAAGAACGCTGGCTGACCCATGTTTGACCTTGAAGTATTAGGATATCAGTACGTCCTAAGAAATGAAAATGTCAACAAACTTTTATTGCCAAAAATTACAGTATTAAAATTTAATAAAAACTTTCAGTATAAATAATATTATATCACAGGAACGTTAAAACACATGTTAGCTAAGACTTTTAAAAATAACAATGAAACCTACCTTTCTAGTTTCAGATTGAACTTCTTCTTGGCAGCACTTTCTGCAGAATGGATCCAACTGATTCAGGCCAAATTGGCCAAGAAGGTCACAAGAACTGCACAGCAAATTGCTGGAAAAGCCAAGATCTCTGCATGCCTCCGATGATAATTCTGCTCCATAAGCAGATATCTGAAATCAAGTAAGATTTACGCAATCCCTTTAACATTGGTATTTGTAACATTTCAGTGTCCATAGTAAGAATTTCTAAATACGATAATTTCAAGGTCGTCCATTTCCCACTCTAAACCAGAAAACCTAAGATTACTCTTTTGAGAGGACTCAGGTAAAAGGGAAGCATATTCACTAAGTTACTTATTTGCTGTGTGAGGATTACTGACACAGGAAGTATTGTATCTATCCTGTCTGACAGGTTTGCAATCTGTATTAACTATAACTTGTTCCCTTTTAGTTTGCTCAACATATGAGATAGCGGTTTGAGAATCAGCTTATGGCATCGTATATTTGAAAGCTCAACTTTTCACAATGGCAACATGAATTTGTGCAGAGGCGTTAAGTTCTTGATTTAGCAATTAAATATTTATCTTGTTCCTCATAGGAGCTCAACTGCTTTATTTTCATAATTGCCTTGCAAAACAAATTTGAGTTGAGGCCTAGTGAGTAGACAAAAGTCATCCAGAAAGGTTTTTTTTGGTGGAATATGGGGCTTTAAACTTGCCATTACCCAAGCTTCCGCTGGCCTCCCCCCCTCCCACCCCGCCCCAGTAAGCAAAGTAAAAGTGGCCACAAAAATTGCTACTATGGTGGTGATGGAAGATTTACCCAGTTACAAAAGACTCCTAGGATGGCTGTGTCAAATCACAAAACTTTAGCATTGCCATTTTATTTATTTCCCAAGCTTTTTAATACCATTGTTATAGCTTCAGTTACTACATATAATTGGCTGGATTTTTTTATTTTTGCTTTAATCAACTGTTAGTGCTTTTACTGCTCACCTATAAGCCCCGTCTAGTCCCATGGAGCAAACAATACTGTGTACAGATAAATAAAAACGATGCATGTCTTGAAATTAAAGATCTAACCACCTCAAAGAGTGTCTTTGGGAATGGCAGGGGTTCGGGTAGTCCTCGACTTACAACAGTTCACTTTAGCGACCGTTCGGCACTGAAAAAAGTGACTGATGACCATTTTTCACACTTACAACCGTTGCAGTATCCCTGCGGTGACGTGATTTCCATTAGGCTGTTTGACAACTGATTCATATTTATGATGTCTGCAGTGTCATGTGATTCCCTTTTACAATCTTCTGACCAGCAAAGTCAATGAGGAAACCAGATTCACTTTAACAGCCGTGTTGCTAACTGAACAACTGCAGTGATTCTCTTAACAACGGCGGCAAGAAAAGTCGTAAAATGGGTCAAAACTCACTTCACAAATTTTTCATTGAGCAACATAAATTTGGGGCTCAATTGTGGTCTGCACACCCATTAAGGACACGAATAAAAATTAATCTCATTTATTAGGTAAAGTTCTATTAGCTTGACTTCCAAGACATCTATCTGTTCCAAAGTATCCATCTGTATTTCCACCCTCCCAAGACGTTCCGTAGCACGACTAAAAAAATTAAAAATGGGGAAGTACCCAGTTTAGCCGATGGCGAACATACCGAAAAAATTTACTGAAAAAACATTTAGCATCCTTATTTGAGTAAAATCATGACATACGCTCATTTCAAGGGGTTTAGCTAACGTATAGGAAAGAGCGTATCCAGCTCAAGGTTTTACTTAAAAAAAACCCCAAATGCACCTGCATATTGGATTTTTTTCGACCCGACCGGAAAAGTCGAAGGAATTTGCGAGTCCAAAATAATGAGCAGAAATAGATTCCCCTCAAGACCCCCTTCGGCCGCTCCCCAAGCTCATCGTCGCTACTCTCCTTGTTCTAACGGGGCTTCTTACCGCCTGCAGCGCCGTTAGCAACCAAAGCCAGTAACGGCCGAGCCCCACAGCTCCCGCTCGAATCGCCATGTTGGCACAGACGGACAGCTCAGGCATTCCATCGATGAGGCCCCTATACCGACAGGATGTCTTACGTACTGCCCGTTTGGATCAAAGAAAATATCTATACAGTTCTTCCATTCACATTAAACTGACCAGCGTAGAAAAAAAATCGAGGAAGGAAAGAACATATCGGAATTTGCAAGAAACAATTTACGCGTCTTCAAAGATCACTTGTTCCCTTTTCTTTCTTTCTTTTTCAGGCACTTTTTTGGACGTTTCAGAATAGATTCTCCTATGCCCTCAATCGAACGGTTCCTAGAGATTGACAAGACGATTGACCAATGGCCTAGCGGAACATTAGCATTCGCTTTTACCGCTGCATCCAATACCCAAAAGGGAAAGTCTCTAGGCCTACCGGACAACGTTGTCCAATCAATAAGTAAAAGGGGGTAAGGAGGAGTGTCGGTTCAGTTCCTTTCCAGTTACGCGAGGAAGTCTCGATAGGCGGGCGGATGGGAGGCATAAGCCAACCGATGAAAGACAAGGGGAGTGGAAGCCAATGGACCTTAGGGTTTGGGGCGGGACCTGTATTCTGGCTGGTCGATGAGGAAGGCGAGGTAAGCGAAAGGGGCGTGAGTAGGGCCGGGCGTTCGGTTGCTGAGCAGCGCACGCAAATTGGTGGCTGGGGTGGCCGGGCGCGTGCCTGGGACAGTCCGCGGAGCCGGACCGGCGTACTGAGCCGCTGTCGGAGGCGGTTGGTGGTCGGATGGGCGTGTGCCGTCGCGAGGCATGTGAGAAGCCCAGTTTTGTTTCCTCCTTCCCCACGAGCTCTCGCCGGCGCCGGGCTTTCCCTCGCTCGTCTGCGGCCGCCGTTTTTGTCTCCCGCAGAGGCTGTTCCCCGAGCACCATCCCCCGGCCTCCCCTGTCGGCGCCCCGCGTGATGTCGTGATCTCCGGGCGGACGTTGTGAGACCAGGGAGGCGGGGGCGCTCAGGTGGCGGCAGCGGCGGCGGCTGCTGCTGCTGTTGCCGCTGCAGCCGCCGATGGGGCTGCTCCGGATTATGTTGCCGCCTAAGTTGCAGCTCTTGGCGGTGATGGCGTTCGGGGTGTCCGTCCTTTTCCTGGAGAATCAGATTCAGAAACTGGAGGAATCCCGCGGGAAGCTCGGTAAGTCCTCTGGACGGCCTCGGCCGTGGGAAAGTAGTGGTGGCTTAAGTGGGGCCGTATGGAAGGCGGCAGATGGTGCCGTCTGAAAGTCGCGGGTGTGTGGTTGTGTGTGTGTGTCGGTGGTGGTGGTGGAATGCGATGGTCTGAAGTGAGTCGGGGTTGGGGAAAAAGACCCCTTTCATTTTATCGCAGGACTACCAAGACGGCAAGGATAGGGGTCACGGGAGGGGGTGGGAAGGGAGGATGATCTGGAGAAGCTTTGGAGACCGATTGGGAAAGGTCGAAAGCCCTCGGGCTACTGTCACGTCTCTGTAAATGAGATAATTCGGTTATTTTATGTGTGTGTGTGATATATATATACATATACATATACATACATACATATATATATATATGACACACACACA